AAACTCATCCTCAGGTACTTGAATTACACAAATCTAGACATCAGAAACTCCACTATTATTAAGTTTTTGTTGATAAAGATTGGCTTACGATATTCATTGGTTAAACGCTTACAGGATAGGTTGACTGTTGTGATGTGACCATCAGTAATAATCAGAAGCAGAACAACATGGCCACGAGTTTTTCTTTTTCTTTTGCTGCTTCTGCTGTCACTCCCCATTTGATTTTAGCGCAGTTCAAACCTGCTTCAAACTTTTAAACACTGCATTGCATAGAATTCAGGAAGTTTTTCTACCAAGGGGGTATATTAGGATTGAATTAGCACTCCTTGTAACATCTACACTGGAAACAGGACGTTAATAGGTACGTTTCCTCAGACACACTCCTCACAAGTAAAATGTGCACAAAGACCTGAGGACCTCTAGCAGCTGGTTGAACTTTGACTTTTTCTTCTTAACAGCAGGATTCCTTCAGCTGCTGCTAACGTTAGTTAAGCTTGTTTCTCTGATGACCTAAGATCCAGAGTCCAATGACTAAAATCCTTCATGCTGTTAAAATATGATCTGAGATCTAAAACATGTATGGTAAAAAATGTGTCTTAAAACTGGATAAACATTCATGACGTTCTGTCAGACAACCACAACAGTGAAGCTTGCAGTGAAGGGGATATGACGCCAGTGACCTATGAATATTACCTGAATGAAATAATACATTTGAACATTGTTGGAAACGTTTGGGATAATGTAAGTGCACAACTCAACAACATATACAGTTTAATATAGTAATATAGTATAGTCTAGTGTTTATAGACATTTTACCAAATGCTACATACACATTATAGCTTTGAATGTTGGAGGACTTTGCTGGTTCCAGTTGAGCAAGATGCACTTCTACACTATAGAGGATATTATTATACAATTATCAATTACAATTATCTAGCATCTAGCATCCTATCCAGTTCTGTACTGAAGAGGTACCATATTGGAGTAATGACCAATGACATTTCTGAAATCATGTCAGGGTCAGGTCAGGTCACAACACAAAAATGTTTTAATTTTCTGCATTTCAAGAAAATATGGATAATTGACACTGTACATCAGGGATCTCAAACTGCCTGCCAGTTCTGGCCCTACTTCTGGCCTATGATGTCACGTGATGTAGATTATGTTGCAGGATTATTATTATTATTATTATTTTCTAGTTGTTTTATCGCTATTTGAACTATCCCTTCATACATTTTTTTTAACCTTTGGTTTGAAGGACTTGTTGTTCCCTCCACCTGTAATCTTATTTCTATTTTTAAACTAATAACCCAGACTGGAAACAGGAATTTTTAAAAAATTGATTTTGTGAAAATATATTCACCCAGCTCAAGCTCTCTAACAAGACAGGAAAAACAAGACAGACAGGATCCCCTGCTTCAACAATAGTGTGCAATAGATTGGCAGATGGAAAAGGAAAATTGTAATAGGCTAGTAAACATTCAAAACACAATATTAAGATATTAGGAGGTTCATAATCCCCAAAATTTGATCAAAAGTTCAATATTAATAGATATTAATGGGGGCCAAGCCCAAGTTGACCCTGCAGGCCCATCGGCGTGATCCAAGTTGCAGGCACAGAGATCCCAAAACATTCAGGGTTTCTTTAGCATATTTCATGTTTTTTTATTTATTTTGCAACTAAAACAAAGTGCGCCAAGGTTTTCGCAGAAACTCAGTACATCATGGGAAAAGTTTTAATAAGACTGATTGTTGCCGACTTACACTATATAACTAAGGTGCCACCTACTAACCAAATTTTGCACAGTGAGGGGTGGAACTAACATTTAACATATGATTTAATTAAGCAGTCACTGTTTTCCTTACAGTATATACAGTTGATCGACACAAATATATATATATAAAATCCAAAACACTTTGATACATGGTTCTCCTGAATTTTGCACTTCTGTGAGTCACAAGTTTGCTGTGGTCATGGGAAATGCCTTTTAGCAGTATAATTAGGTCTGCTGAGGAGGGGAGGGAGCTTCCTTCCTGTCAGCAGTTTGACTTCCTGTGGTGTGGGGTCAGTAGTCGG